GGTGGGGAGGGGGGGGGGGGGGGGGGCGGCTGAGCCCTGTTGAGTGGTGCTGTCTTCTGGGGAGCCTCTTCCTATCGCTCAGCCTCTCGGAAGCAGTTTGATTCAGTGAGATCCAAGCTGCACAGGACAGAGCTGTCCCCTGCCCCCGCAGCCCAGCCCATGTAGCTGCCCAGGCGATCAGCTGTTAGCAGGAGGTCTCTGCACACAGGCCTTGGAGGTGTCCACCAGCTTGCTCATGGTCCCTTTCCCGCTGTTTCTCCTCTGTGCTGAATCATCGCTCAGCCTCTCGGAAGCAGTTTGATTCAGTGAGATCCAAGCTGCACAGGACAGAGCTGTCCCCTGCCCCCGCAGCCCAGCCCATGTAGCTGCCCAGGCGATCAGCTGTTAGCAGGAGGTCTCTGCACACAGGCCTTGGAGGTGTCCACCAGCTTGCTCATGGTCCCTTTCCCGCTGTTTCTCCTCTGTGCTGAATCCGCGGGGGGTGCCACTGACAAAAATGTCACGCGGTCCCAGGTAGCCGGATGCCCTGGCTGTCAGATTCGTTGGCCCAAACACGAGGGGCTAACTGCTGCCCAGCACCATGGAGCCAGGGGTCCAGCCAGCAGTGTAATGCTGCCGGTGTGTCTGTCTGCCTGTCTACACACACGTGCATGTTACCATGGGCCCAAACTCCCCCAATTACTGTGCCCTCTGACCCCAGTGCTCCCGCACACTCGGCACTGACTGTCCCAGCCTGCCGGAAACCCCTCCAAGCGAGCGTTGGCAACAATCCTGCCCGTTCGCATGGGCATGCACCTCAGATGTTCTCCGTGTGCCCCGAGGACACAGGCGGCCTGGGTGGAATGTGGTTTCGGACAGAGGCAGGGGATGGAAGCCTGGTTTCCCTTAACACCACGTAACTTGGCTGAGTAATGCTGGTCCCAGCAATCTCCGGCCCTGTCCCCTCCAGCCTGTCCAGGAGCAGCGCAGCGAGGGAGGATTGGACTGGGACAAGCTGCTGGCCTGGGAATTCCAGCAGCCCCCAGGTCAAGCTGAGACCCTGCCCCAAGCGGTGTGTTTCCAACGGGCGAGCAGACAGAGGCGCCTTCTCCCCATCATACAGCTGGGGGGCAGAGGGGCTGCGCTGGGAGTAGCTAGCAGAGGTAGATGCCTGAATCCTGGCAGCCCTTGAGCAGCAAATCCCTGCTCTCCCCACCCCAAACCTTGCTGCAGCTCCTAGCCGGAGCTGCCCCGACTCTGTCCCATGAGAGGTAATGAGCATGAGTCTCAGCTGAGCTAATGGGGTTTCTCCCCCTCTCTCTGCAGTGGAGGATGACGAAGATGCTGCTGTCAACAGAATTGCGTAAGTGCCTGGCTGTCTCTTTTTTCCCCCTTCCTGGTGTGCTGGGCCAGGTCAGGTTGTGCAGTGGTTAGAGCAGCCGGGGGACTCAGGACTCCTGGGTTCTCTCCCTAGCTCTGGGCAGGGAGTCCAGTGCTGAGAGCATCTCCCCCCCCTCTCTCTGCAGTGGAGGATGACGAAGATGCTGCTGTCAACAGAATTGCGTAAGTGCCTGGCTGTCTCTTTTTTCCCCCTTCCTGGTGTGCTGGGCCAGGTCAGGTTGTGCAGTGGTTAGAGCAGCCGGGGGACTCAGGACTCCTGGGTTCTCTCCCTAGCTCTGGGCAGGGAGTCCAGTGCTGAGAGCATCTCCCCCAGCCTGCTGGGGGTCTCGGTGTGAGGTGTCTCCTGCCCCACCGGCTCGGGGGAGGGGGGCCCTAGGGAGGCTG